TGTATTTGGAAATGTAGGTTTGAATTTGATTTTGAAGTTGGTTTAGCATGGACAGTGCAACAACCTGATTACATCAAATCAGAATATGTTGTTTTTTATTATCTGATTTGTGCATATATTGAATTTTTAGCACTTGTTTCTGGTCAGGGTCCGGCATCTACCAATACAGCTACACAAGGGGTATCAATTTATTTTCCACTCTAACGATAAATAGTATTTCTCAATATGTTAACATCAGAAAGTGACCCATCCTTTAAATGATTGTATAAATTTTCACCAGGACACAAATGCAGACCCTGAACTTCTTGATGATTCTGATTTCTATCAACAATTACTAAAGGAGTTTTTCGAGACAATTGATCCAGCATCATCTGGTAAGATGCCTTGGCATTTAATATATATCATACCGTGCCGAGCAAATGTGAAATGGATTCGTTTAGGGTATGGTCTGTCGTTTTAGACTTGTTGCTATCTTCCCTTTGTATGATAGGTGCTATTAATTAAGCTACTTTTGGGGGTGTCACAGTGACAATATTTACACATATCCAATCTTGTTTTTACTATTTGGACACGTTATGCTTATTGGAGGATTTATTATTATTATTATTTTTTTGAACTTCATTAGGTTTTTATTGTGTTTCTTTTTCTCCCCGGGGTCAGACACCATTAATTTCCATATTGAGATTATACCTTTTCTGCTATATCCATCAATTGATGTGCACCTTTAGCATGGTCTATTCTAAAGGGCACATCACCAGAAGAAGGGGGGTTGATCTAATTTCATATTAGCTTACTATGTATTTTAAATTCCACTTGTTGCCCTTGTATTCCATCAACTCGAAAAGGCTATTGAATCTCTCCCAAGCAGTAGTGCAAATTCGTCTGGCATTTAAATCCCTTCCAAGGATATGAAGACAACTCATCTGCATGAAACCATACGTTTAACGGCAAATTTTCAGCTACTGAAATTCCCCAAGCCACCTTCCTTTCATGAGAGCATGTTTGGTTGTGTACTTTCCGAGTTAGTATATTGTCAAACATAATTTTCAAAGTTAATTTTAAGCAGAACTAAACATGGTCCGAGTCTTCTTAATTTATGGTCCTATGCAATTGTCCATGGAGCTTTTATGGATATTTACAAGTGGCCACAGGCAGTATAGAAAGGATTGATGATTCAATAACAACTTAACTGTTCTGATCTTGATTGGTGACAGAGAGTGCTTTTTATGCTATGAAAAGATTGCAAACAAAGAAACGAAAAATTGTCGACAGGCGTGCCTCAAAGAGTCGCAAGATACGGTAAGTTGCCAACGGTTTCATTATTTTGTTGATTCTTGACACCTCCCAAAATGTATTTTTACAATTGTCTAAATTCCTTGGGTTTGATCATGCAGGTATCATGTTCATGAAAAGATTGTCAATTTTATGGCACCTCGGCCCATGAATCTTTCTCCTGATGCATCTTTGATATTTCAAAATTTGTTTGGCCTCAGAACCCAGAAATCTGCTTCAGCGGTATAGCCTTCCGACTTTCTATGCTGCAAAACCGTGTGAGAATATCCAAGCTTGAAATTTCATTTTTGGTTCACATGGTTAAAACAATGGCCATAGAATGTTGTATAATTTGATCAACTTTCCAAGTATTATGATATCTTTGGTTGAAGGTTCTTTGGTAAAAATGTGCTGTTTGATGGCTTTCAATGGGTTTAGATGTCCCTTCGTATGGCAATGGTCCAATGGATATGGCCTCTGTAACTTCGACTATGAGGCAGGATATGGTGAAAAGGATTTATTTATTTATTTTTAAAATTTTAATTTTCTAGAAAAATCTTTTGTGACAAGGCAAGGGCTTTTAGGCCTTCTTCGTCATCCGTACTAGTGAGATGAGTAATGAGTAGTGTTATTCATTTAGATATCATTACTGGTGTTAGTGACGCTGAATCTTGCGATTTTATTTTGTCATTCATTTTTATTTTTCATGTTGAAATATATGTCTGTGATTTTCGATTAGGTTTAGGCTGCAAGGAAATAGAAATAGAAAACGTCATATGACATGACACGTGAAAAGGCTATTCTTGACAAGTGACACACGGTATGAATAGATAACGTTTTAAGAAAATTTATTAATATATAATAAGTGAAGCATTTGATTTTTAAGTAATAATTTAGCAAAGTACTGAAAGCGCTGGACTTGAAAAGATAGTGACGTATTCAAGTCCGTGACGTAGACTGAAGAGTGACGAAGGGGGTGACGATGTGAAGAATGAAGTAAATGGAGAAAAAAATCTTGTCATCCAACGACAAATATGATGTTGACGGGTCATGATGGGTTGACTATGTTCCCCCACTTTGTTGAATATATTTCTATCTTCTTTTCAATTGCAAATTTTTGGTATTATTTTTTTTTCTTTTTAAATAACATATTTTTCAAAAAGTTATTATTTCAAAATATATTCTTTTCCAAAATTTAATTTTAATGGCTTCAAATGAGGGCTCAAGTTAAAAAGTTATTATTATTTTTTACTGTCAAATAATTTATTTATTTATTTTTTGTTGTCGGACAAAATTATTGGTTTTATTCAAGAAATCTTCAAAATTTGAAATTTTGGTCAAAAGAAGTTGGTAGAGTGACTTCCCCCAAAAAAAGTTGATAATGGGTCTCGTCCAATATTATGGATATTTTTGCAAAAGAAAGAACTTCCTCGTTCGGTATTGATATAAATAAAATTTTAATTTAAGTCAAAGTCAAACAATCAATATAAATCAAATATTTCACGAATCTCATAATTTTTCAATTACACATTTCAAAATTTTTTGTTAAAATCTACTAAAAATTTAATTTCAACCTCTGGGATTTAATACTTTTTATATGTCATTTCAAACATTTTTCATTAAAGATATTTTTTTTTCAATTTTCATGGACCAAAAAGAATCTTCATCAACTTTTCTCTTTATTTTATTTTCAATAGCAATCAGAGAACAGCTTGCAAAAAAGTTTTGTTATTTTAATTGTTTTTCAATTTGTCAAATTATTAGTATTTTTAAAATAGTGTAGCGACTTGATATTTAAAATCGGTGATATTAGGGTGCATATTGTTTATGTTAATGACTCTAAAATAATAAGCCTTGTGGAAAGTAATATATACATAAAAGCAAAATTTTCTTGGTCTCCAACCTATTAGTCGAATCACAAGTTAGTTCTTGAGTACTTACAAACGAGGATCAAGTTAATCTCTTTATAATTTAAAGGTCGAAATCAAACTTTAATTTTAATTGACCACACATTTAATATAACTCACAATTACTAACCCTTATTCATCATTAATATATATCAAATTATAATTTCAACAACTTATAATGAAAATCAAGCATGTCTTCACCATTAATTAGACTCAATGGACACATTGCATCATATTTCTATTATATTGACATGACAAGGCATTAATGTTGTGCCACTAGTCTCAATGGATGGATTCGGAATTTTTCATTATCAACGACATATTTTTCAACTTTTCTCGAACGAAATAGAGTTCGGAGACATAGTTATTACTTTAGGATTAGAGACCGACGTTAAATTTAAGCTTAATTGCTAAGTCATACAATTTCAACGTACACATCACATTTGAATTCAAAGGCCAGGAGTGAGATTATCTCACGTCTTGCTGACAGTCGTATTGTGGGGGTTCGATTCCTGAGACATGGAATTGAACTTTTTGTAAGCGCAGTTTACAGGCAACTCTTGTTCCTTGACCTGTTGAGACATATCGCGTGATTTACCTCCCTCACAAAACTCTAAAGGTGGGATAATGAGGGCCCTCAAGATTGGAATTCAATCTTTATAATTGCAAAAGGTCGATAGATTGGTCAGCAAGTAACCAATTACAGCACTTTGAGTCTTTGACGATCTTGGTTTGGACACATTGTCATTTTTTATGACTTTTTATTTATTGTACGTTCAGCTCAGTCAGCCGAATTTGGCATCATGTGCCCGCCTTTGTTGAATATTTTGTTGGTTTAAGCTTCTCATTGATTCCAACTTCGTGGTTCCATGAAATAAAAAATATATGAGTTTCTATTTAGTATTGATTTAAATTAAATTTTAATTTAAATTGAAATCAAACAATTAATTTTAATCATATATTTCACAAGTTTCACAATTTTTCAATCGCACATTTTAAATTTTTTTTATTAAAATCTACTAAAAATTTAATTTTAATCCCCACCAAACAATGACTAAAAAATAATAGTATTGCCGTAAATATTGAGCCCATGGCCCCCAAGAATTCTAGAAACATAATATAATTCACTTATAACTTATAAGTAATACACTAACTATAATTGACCGAGATTATTATTCTAATTAGTGGGACAATGATGTGACTTTAGCTACTCGCAGTTGAAATTCAGAAAATTGTTGTGAGAAGAAAAAAAAAGTGCTTCGAGAAGCTCTATCCAATTGTACGATCCAATCAATTTAAGGGTCGGCCGTTATCATCTTGAAAATCGAGGTCCATGTTTGCAAAGCCTATAAAAAGAAATGTAGTTATATATTGATAAATAATTATCTACTGACAAAATTTAGACACTAAAACAAGTGTTACATTTAAAAGAATTTATATATTTAGAAATTTTTTTCAGAATTTTCATTTTAGGTAAAAGTAATCTTGCTTTTTATTAAGTTGCAGCACATTTATAGTAGTTAAAATCTCAAAAAATTATGCTGCTCAAACAGGGGTTGAGAGGCTGACACTTTAACCACTATCACAAGGGCTTGTCCCGACCTCTATTGGTGTAGCAGGTCCCCATCCCAAATGATGAAGTCAATCATGGTCGACAAGAAATAGACAGAGAACAAATTAATTTTTTGATATATAGTTCAAAGCTCCGTTATTCAAAGAATTTTTTATTTTATTCACTAGAGATTGGGTGTTAACATCTTTTCAAGTATATATTTTACATCTCATGTTTCCAACATTGATAAATATTCCAACTTTGTTTAACTTGATTATAAAAGTGAACATCTTGTTTAAGTTGTGTCTCTAATATAAAATTTTGTAAAATTTTTTATGAGTTATTCAAATTTTATTTTATGATATTAGGGTTATTATGATAGATGGAAAGCAGTGGGCAATTGTCCCCAACCAATTTGATCTAGCCTTAAGTTAGTATTCAACTTATGAAAAGATAATTAGTGCCACTTCCTCAAGAACCTTCTAGTCATCGACTTTAGCCAGCTACGTGGCCCTGTTCATTTAGCATTAATCCTCTATTTATACTCCCTAGTTTCATTAATTTTCTGCACACATAGACCAGTTATGGCCTCTCCACAAAGAAACAACGAAACCTCAATCCCTGCACCTCCCGATTCCATCACACATAGACCAGTTATGGCCTCTCCACAACGAAACAGCGAAACCTCAATCCCTGCACCTCCCGATTCCATCACACATAGGCCAGTTATGGCCTCTCCACAACGTAACAACGAAACCTCAACCCCTGCACCTCCCGATTCCATCACATAGACCAGTCATGGCCTCTTCACAACAACACCTCAATCCCACAATTCAAACCTCCCTGTCCAGCCAAGAAAACTGTCACGAGCGTGACAAGGTCCGTCATATTATACGAGAGAGGAACGTGAGTTCCTTGAGAGAATATGGTGGCGCTCCCATGGTTGCCGTTGCTTTCAATTCTAATATTGAAACAGGGCTTCAGACTGGTACAGCTCTAACAGCAGGATTGAAACAAGTCGATCCCCCCACTTTCACCAGCTTCGTGTTGGAGGAGTTGAACAGTGCTACCTTGCTTCCGCTCTTCGTCTCTGCTGTAATTTGCTTCACTGCAGGGATTGTCTTGGAAAAACCTGATTACGGATGGCCTGAGGGTGTTGACATACTGGTTAACATTCTTATTCTTGTCTTTCTACCTTCTATTCAGAAATACTGCACTGCGAGAAAAGATGCGAAAAAAATCAAGTTACAAAAGGTGACGGTAATAAGAGATGGGGAGCATCAAGCTTTGGCGGTCTTGGGGGTGGTGGAGGGCGATCTAGTTGTTTTAAAGAAGGGAGATGTCATTCCTGGCGATGGCTTGCTGGTGTTCGGGAATGAATTAGAGGTTGATAATAAGTTAGATTCCCGTATTGATTGCGAGAACAATCCATTTCTCTTTTCCGGTTCAAAAGTTGTCACAGGAGAAGGCCGCATGATCGTTGTGTCTATTGGTTCTAATACATCTCTAGGTGAGATGATGCTCTTGATGAACCGCAATCCGTGTGAAGAACCCTTGTTCCAGGCTCACATGAAAGCACTTAGCAGGACCATGGATTATATTGTCATGTTCATATATATAGTGCTTGCTTTGATGTTATTTTTCCAGCTCCTGTACACAAGAAACCGCCACAAGGACGACCAGAAGAGTGTTCAACCACCCAACTTGAACAACAAAGTGTCAGCCGAATTTGTAGAAACTTTGTTCAAAAAGATCTTGTTGAGATCGAGAGGTAAAATCATCATTCTGATCTATTCACTTACTATAATTGATCTAGGGTTGCAGGGTATTTTACCTCCGACTATTTCAGCTGCTCTAATATGCTGGAATAGGAATTTGAAAAAGAAGTATCAGATTCACCATAAGAATTTGTATGCTTGTGGTACCATGGGATTGACAGAAATCATCGTAATTTATGTATCCAATGAATTACCTGTGTCTCAATACCCACTAGAAGCTGCAAATGATCTTAAGAATAAAGGGGTTTCCATCGTATTGGTGTCAAGGGAAGATGAGAATTCTGTAAGAGCCATAGCTGGCAAGATGGG